GGCATCGAGGTCTTTCAGTGTTTACACGGCCCAGTCGCTTGACGGGCTGCACGTGCGCCACTTCAGCCTCCTCAGCGATGCTGGTCTGGAGGTGATGTCTCTTTTGTTCGAGGCGGTCGAGCGCCTTGGGTTGTTCCCGATGCAGTTGCTGTGGATGTTGCTACCGCTTCTTGAGAAGCCCAAAGGCGGTCTTCGGCCCATATTGCTCCTGGCTGCACCAGTGCGTATCTGGGAAAGGCTGAGGCGCCCTGAAGTCGATGGTTTCCTGGTTCGGGCCCATAGGGCCTATTGGTCCTTCGGGGAGGGGCAGTCGCCTGAAGCAGCGGTGTGGCAGCAGAGCATGTTGGCAGAAGAAGCCCAGTCTCAGGGCAAGGTCACTGCAGGCTTTATCTGGGATGGAACGAAGTACTATGAATCGTTTAGGCTATCCTGGCTCCGTGTGCGTGCTGAGTATTGGGGGATCCCGCGGGTACTCGTCAAGACCCTGTATAATATCTGGAGGAGCCCGAGGATTTTGAGGTTGGGAGCCCATCACAGCCCTCTCCCCCTCTTCGCGGAATCAGGATTACCAGCTGGTGATATATACAATGATGTTTTCGTTCAGGTTTACACGTTGTTCGAGTTTGATCAGTTTGCTATTCGGAACCCACAAGTCTCCCTGGGCTCGCACATTGATGATGACACGATCCTCACGTTTGGTGAAGAAGAAAAAATCATCCAGGATCTTGTTAGAGCCGCAGTATGATATGAAGTATATCTTCCAACACCGACTGGGAGTGCAACTAGCTGCTGACAAGGCATCGACGTTTGCATCTTCTCAGCGTGTGGCTGCTCGCTTGGCCAAGAAGCTTGCCCGCTACTGCCCGTCGCTCGCCTGCAACTCGGCCATCTCGCTGGGCTGCGATTTAGCGCCAGGACAGCATCGGGCATGTGCAGGAGGGCGCACAAAAAGGAAGGCTCGGTTCAAAGATATGAGGACCCGTCATGGTTTTATTCGTTACCTTCGAAAGCAACTTGCCCAGGGACCGATCTCGCATGAGCAAGATTTACATATGTGGGGTCAGGCCTGCCGCGGGCTATGGGCCCATGGCCCTGGGAATGTCCGATCAGGAACTCAATGATCTCAGGAGCGTGCTGCTTTCAGGTCTGTCGCCAGCGCATAGAGGTGCGTCGCTTACGGCAAAAGTTTGCATTCACGGAGATCCTGCATGGCTGCAGGCGACGGCGCCCGCCAGGCAATGGTCGACCAGTTTGTGGAGAAGTCTGACGACGCCGTCCACCAGCCCCTTCTCGTTCAGGGATCACATCAGGCTCTGGAGGAGCCTCGAGGCTCAGGGGCTACGTTTGGGGCCATCTGAGTGGAGGAACTCTCGGGGACCAGGTCATCGAATGCTTCTGAGTTTAGAGCGCATAGGCTGGAAGGCGCTTAGCTTTAGTAGGTGGCAAGATGATAGGGGCAATGTTGTGGATTTACTGTATCACAGCCCAGCCATGATTGCTAGTCTGTTGCAGTCAGGAGTTCAGAGATCCCATGAGAGGCGATTGGCGGCGAGTCTTCCCTCGTTCGATGGTGCGCGTGTGTGCGTGGACCCTCTCCGCTCCCTCCTTCGTTCGAAGCGAACCCCGCCGCGAGCAAAGTACTGGATCTGCTCCTGTTTTTTTTTCAAATGGCTGCTGGACGGCAGACCGTTTGCAAGAGTCGGGTTATATTTCAGATGGACGTTGTCCCAAGTGCGGCCAACCTGACTCGATTTTCCACCGCCAGTGGTTATGTGAAGACCCAGAGGTATCAACGGCCCGCAGCGAAGCTGTTGAACCTCATCTGATTGAGGCTGCCCGTAGTTGCCAGCCCTCTGAGCGATTGTTTTGGTCTCGATTGATAATGGCTCAGGGAGCCTCGGACCCCCTCCTCCAGGATGCGAATGGGCAGCCATTGTCTCTCGATGAGTTTGTTGAACGGAGTGAGAGCTGCGACCTAGTGGTCGACGGCTCGGCTAGTATCCGATTCTTGAGCTCAACCGTGCTTCTTTCGCGGGGGTCTTTGGAACCAGGGGACGTTTACCGGTTCGGACCCGCTTCATGGCCACTGTGTGGCCAGTGTTGCACCAGACGCCCCAGGCGGCTGAAAATTTGGGCCTGGCCACTGCGTGTGCGTTTAGTTCGGGCATGACTTCCCCTTTCAGTGATTGCAAAGGGGCCGTGCGGTTGCATAACCTCTCGGACGAGGCGCAGCTTTGCCCGCGTGAAATGTTTGCTGGCTTTCGACGTGCCGCGCAGCAGTCGCCTGGTTTTGATGCCCTGGGGGAGGCCCAGCATACGCCCGCCCATAGGCCGGATGCTATTATACAGGCCCTTCCCCCAGACCAGAAGCGAATAGCTTTAGCCAACCAGGATGCTGACCGCCTGGCTAAGTATGCCCTCTCGCTTCATCCGCAGCCTGCATCTGCTGATCTGGAGATGCTAGATAGGCAGGTGCAGGCCCTTCGAGCATGCGCGCTAATGTTCGGGAAGGTGCTCTCTCTTTTTCCTAAGCTGCACTTTGAGAGACCCCCGAAAGAGAGGAGGTTGCCTAGAGTCCCTCCCCCGCCTGACTGGCATGAGTGGGATGAGCTCAGTGGCGATCGACCCGCTTTCAGATGCAAGAAATGTTTCAGGATTTCGTTTGAGGGCGAGTCCCGCCCGATGAATGGTTGTGGGGTTTGTCCACAGCACTGAGACGCCTCCAGGGTGCTGAGACCGAGCGGCAACATAAGCTGGATTTTGCCATCCTGCACAAGACCCAGAGGCCGCTGTTTTTCTGTTTTGCCTGCGGTGCTTACACCAGCAGGCGATGCCACTTGCTAGGTCAGACCTGCGTCAAGAAGCTGAGCACTGCTGGTGAACAGGTGCTCACACGACTGCAGGCTGGCTTCCACCCTCACTACAGAAAGAATGCTGAGGGTGATGACTCGCTGGCGCCTGCTAGAGCGCCGTCGAAGTCGGTGCTTCTTGCCCCTCCTGGCCCTCTCGCTGCGGGGTCGTCTCGCTTGGTCGATTCCGACCGCTTGCGAGCGCTCGCAGCCCGTATTCAGGCCAATGAGGAGGCATCCAGGCGCTAGCTGCTGCCTGAAGCTGACGTTCTGCCGCAAGGTCGCCCCGCCCTCCCTGCCTCTGCTCTCCGCATGCCCATCCCATATCGGCACGCCCCTCGCACGTCTCGTGGCCCCATGGGGAGCTCCACCGAATGCCCCAGTGGGAAGGCGGCGTGGCACCTCCGCCCCATTTCGGCACACCCCTCGCACGTTTCGCGGTCCCATTAGGAGCCTCACCAAAGGCCCCAGTGGGAAAGTTCGCATGGCACCGCCGCCCCATTTCGGCACACCCCTCGCACGTTTCGTGGCCCCGCGACACCGCCGCCCCATTTCGGCACACCCCTCACACGTTTCGTGACCCCATAAGGAGCCGCCCCACCTAAGGCACCAGTGGGAAAGTTCGCATGGCACCGACGCCCTTCGGCACACCCCTCACATGTTTCGTGGCCCCATAGGGAGCTTCGCGGAAGGCCCCAATGGCGACGTTCGCAGGCATCCTCCCGACTCATGTCGGCACACCCACCACATGTTTCGTGGCAGAGGGCTGCACCGCGTGCGCTACTCGGAGTTTGCGCGCCCCCCTCCTTCGTCTCATCTGCCTCGCGGCATTTGCAGCTGCATATGCTTGGGTCCTTCGTCCGGCTTTTTCTCCGATTAACAAGCGTGCGTTCATAGTTCTATTTGGCAGGGGTTCGTGGGCAGGGCGCGTGGTGGATCACGAGGATGCACCGCGTGGTGAGATGGGAATGCGGATTCGGGGCGGATTAGAATGATGGGGGGCAATGAAGCAGAATTGTGAATCATGAGGCAGAATCATATGTGAATTGCAGTGCCCCAAAGGGAGGCGACAATCCCTTGGAGGGTGGGGGGCGGAGTCTAGTCTCCTTTACAATGGGGTTTCAATGCAAAGCAATGCAAGCACAAGGCAAACCGATGCAAACAATTGCATAATAATGAACACCAGTGCAAAATAATGCAAAACAATGTAGCACAACACAGAACGATGCAACACAATGCAATGCAACGCGCAGCGATGCAAAACACTGCACCGTAATGCAGAGCGATGCAAAGCAATGCGCAGCAGGGCACAGCAATGCACAGCAATGCGCAGCAATGCGAATCAATGCAGAGCAAAGCAGAGCAATGCAAAGCAATGCAGAACAATGCGGCCACGGTTGGGGACGAGCCGGCAGAAAATTGACACTGGGGCCCATCGGCGACGGCGGCGACGGGTGGCGACGAGCCGGTCGGACCAGCACCGGGGCCCAGCGGCGATGGCGGCGACGGGCGGCGACGCGGGGCGGCGACGAGCTGGCCAGATCGGCATTGGGGGCGTTACCTTTAGAACATAAGTAAAAACCTTCAAGAGCGAGTACTGTTTGGCGGAATGTGTGCGGGGCTGAGGGGAGAGCCACATTTTGAAAACGAACCGACCTCAATCCTTGAAATTGTTGCACATTCCAAGCTTCAGGATCATCAGTGGTGAGGAAGGGAAACGGCCGGCCCGCCCCCTACGGACATGTCTGGGGGTGCGACAGGGAGGAACTGTCTATGAGGAAGCGGCATGGAGGAGGAGGATCGGACGTTAGAAAGGAGGAAGAGATAAAGAGTGCGAGTTCCAGGCCTCCAAAACAGAGCCCCGGGTGCGCCCCGTCGGAGGGGAACTTTTTGTCACCCTGACTGGGAGCCAACGGCCTCCTTCTCCATCGAGCGAGTCGGTGTGGCTTCGAGCCCGCTCCGCTTAGCCCCGAAGGGCTCCGAGCGGTACAATACGCATCTTTTGCACTCCCTGATGCCTGGCACGCTAGTGTCTAGAGGGGGAGGGGGATGGGGAAGGGGAGGGGGCGGGGGCGGGGGAGAGGGAGGGGGCGGGAGGAAAAGGAGGAGGACGGTGGCCAGGGGGGCGGATGACCCGTGGATGCCCTGGAGGCGATCCCGCCTGCCGTGGACAGCTTCCAGCAGAGCGCGCAGCAGATGTCGATGGGAGACCGAGGGGGTTCCTGGGATGCGCTTGCTTCATGCTTTGCCAGAGGCAAGGTCAGGGTGGGGCAGGTGAGTGAAGGGGGGGTGGGGGAAAGGTGCGTAGAGGGTCAGGAGGAGGAGGGGAGTGAAGGGGGGGGCGAAGGCAGTGAGGGGAGAGGGGGAGGGGAGGGGAGGGGAGTGGAGCGGGGGCGGGCGAGAAGGGGCGCGGAGGGGAGGGGGCGGGGGAAAATGGGGGGGGGACGACGGTGTCGGCGACATCGACCGCGACGACGACGACGGCCTCCAGCGATCCCCTAACCGTGATGCCGAGGAGCCTTCCAGCGGCCGAGCGTCGGGAGCACCGCGACCGCCAGGAGCGCCCCCACCTCTCCCCTGTTACATTTATGTTGATGTGGTTAAATCTTCATCGCCGAGCAGTTAACCGTTGGGGACCCAGGGGGGCTTGCGTGTTTTCCGAGCGTGAGTTCTCCGTGTCCAGAGAGCGAGTCAGCTCTGTGCTTTCATTAGCCGATCCTTCATGTTCAGGCGCTGCTGAGATCGTCGCGTGCCTAATGTAAGAGGTAGACGTCGACGACGACGATGACGACGATGTCGTCGTCGTCGTCGGGCTACTCCACGGAGGAATGGCTTCGCGCCGGCCGCTGCCAGTCTGCCGGCGGCGGTCAACTCGCACTCCATGGGGGCGTACCCCACACCTGCCAGCTCTGCAAGCAGGCTCCCATGGGAGGGGGCATCCCTCCTCTCCCTCCTCCTCCTCCTCCTCCTCCTCCTCCTCCTTCTCCTTCTCCTCTTTCTCATCCCTCTCCCTCCCTGCCGTCCCAACTCCTTCCCTGTCTTCCCTTCTCCTTCTCCCTCCCTCTGCCTACCTCGTTGCCCCTCCCCCTTCTCCCGGTGTCGGGAGGAGAGGCATAGGTGAGCATGGAGAGGACGAGGATTGGAGGAAGCAAATGAAACTGGGGCGGGAGGAACATTTGTGGAAAGTGGTGGGGGGGGCAAGGGGGCAAAGGGAAGGGCGGGAGGGGGGGCGGGTGGGTGGGCACGACCAATCTTCTCCAGTACATCACCCTCAAAAATGGCGGGGGGGGTCGCAAGCGCCTAGTGGGTGATCCAGGATTTGCACTGCAGTATTGCAGCGTTGCAGCGCTGCCGCATATGGTTCGATCCGCATTGCAGCATTGCAGCATTGCAGCATCGCAGCATCGCAGCATTGCAGCATTGCAGCTGCAGGACCTAACGGTCTTTTCGATTTGCATTGCAGCTGTCACATTGTTGAGTCGAGCAGGGATGGTCGCGCTGCGCCCGCCTCCTCTTCCTGCACCCCTATCTAGCACCCCCCAGATCAGACTGCGAGTTTGGGTGCGCCCCAAGAAATGAGTGTCCCCGATGGGCAGCTCCTCGGCTTAATTAGCCACGACTCGCCAGTGGAACTATCAACGGCGGCCCGCTCGCGTTTGGCGATCCTCCTCCTGCTCCTCCTCCTCCTGCTCCTCCTCCTCCTAGAAAAGAGGCAGATCGCAACATAATCTCAAAGGGTGATGGAGGTTTCGACGGCACGTGGCCATGGTCCCCTCTGAACCTTGTAGGCGACCCAGCCAAGCCAGGAAATTCTCCTCTCTTCGTACGGCCTCGTGATCTTGCCAGCCTCTAGCAAGGCTTGTTTTCGCGAGGGCGCTCCCCCATTCATCTCCTACGCGAGTATCCCACCGTCACGTCTCTCAGGCAGCAGTGGCGGGCGGTTCTGGCGGCAAAGGGCGGGGTAAACCAGCCTCGTGGGCTCCCTGGCATCGTGGGTGGGGGTGCTCGCCGCGGGCATTGTCTGGCGGCGAAGCTCACGGGCATCAGGATAAATTCTTGTGGCCGCGTCTTTTTCCTGGGCTTCAGTCTTTTAGCCTACATTATGATGGTGATCGCGGTGCTCCGTCTAACACAGGTCAGCGGTGATCATGTTTTTCTTTGTACTTGCGCAAAGAACAAGAACACTTCTACTTTGTATGCACTGCGGGTCGTTCAAATCTGAAAGAGCGCGTTCTGTGGTCGCTTGGAGGGGGGGGTGGAACCAGACCCCCCCGCCCCCCCCTCCTCCCCCCCTGCCCTACTTATCCTCTCTCCCTCTCCTCGGGCCGGCGCCTGCGACGGTGGGGGCGACGACTCCCTTTTCTGGGCCGGCGCCTGCGGCGGCGGGCGGCGGCGGCGGGGAGCGTCGACGAGGACGACGGCGACGACGATGACGACGACGACGACGGCGACGTTTCGCCACCGAGCCTTGGTTTCGGGTCAGAGTCCTGATGGATGCCTCTTGGGGTCTCGTCGGAGGGCTCTCGGGGGCGTCTGAAGGGCATTTGTGAGGCCTCCTGGATGCCTCTTGGGCGTCTCTTGGGGCCTTTCTGAGGTGGTGGTGGTGGTGGGCTGTGGTGGTGGTTGTGGTGGTTGGTGGTGGTTGTGGCGGTGGTGGTGGTGGTGGTGGTGTGGTGGTGGTTGGTGGTGGTGGCGTTGGCTGTTGTTGTGGTGGTTGCGTGGTGGATTTTGAGGAGTGGGGGCTGGTGATTCAGTTCAGGGTCCTTGTCTGAGGTCCGCGCCCCCTGACTGCTCAGAGTGCTGAGTTGAGCGCTTGCGCATGGGCTAAAGTTCTGGCCGCCGCTCCTTCAGAATGTCGCGTTTTCTCGGACAGTGAAGTTGTGGACTGCGCATGGGCTAAAGTTCTGGCCGCCGCTCCTTCTGAATGTCGCGTTTTCTCGGACAGTGAAGTTGTGGACTTCGTTGGGAGGCTACATATGTGCAGATGTCTCCCAGGAAGGTCTATTGTGGTGTTTCCCTTCTGTGCTATGGTCAGCTGTCGTCAATTCCTTAGTGTGCTGAGGTTGATGCAGGCAGAGATGTGGACGCCCCCAGTTTCATCCTTCTGGAAAGAGGCGTAGGGTTGGCAATCACCATGCCGATGTGGGTGCCGAACAGTGTGTTTCCAGTCGACCTGGCGATGCTGGCGTGCTACAAGGTGTCGACACTCTTGTCGAACTGTCTGTGCCAATTTTCAGTCAACTGCCGGCGTCCTTCTCCTTTGGCCCAGCGTGGACCTGTCTGGAGTCAAGCGTGTGGCCCCTCTCGCGGATCGTGCTCAAAGTGTCGGCCACCGCTGGGAGCGTTGAGGAAGTATCTGGAGCTGTGTCACTTGTTTTAGGGGCCATCGAAGCCAGGCCCTTCCTAGCCATGGTCGTTGCCCACAGGACAGTCCGTTGCATGTTAAGCACCATGACAGTCTGGTCATGGTACCATCGACTTTGATGATTGTTCTGATCAGACTGAACTGCTCATGAGTGCGAGGTGCAAGTTTCATTCATCAGGAGGCCCACTAAGGGGCTTGGCCTATCGGTGCAGGACCACTCCCACTCGTGCAGCAAAACTAGGGTGGAACTATTTGTGTAGAGGCCGCCCCGCCTGCTCGCGTCGGCAGTATGGGGTCAAAGTCATGTTTAATCCCGTCATCGAATTCTTTATAGACTTTGAAATGGATTCCCATGTTTCGGACCCTGGTTTGCCGTCGGCTGCGCAGGTGGAGACTGGACATTTGGTTTCTTCGGCCGCTTGTTTGGCTGCGCATGCAGCCCATGCGCAGTCCGAGTCTGCTGCTGGTGCCTCCGCGGGTGCACTGGCCGATGCCCGTGCTGTGTTCAAGCGAGTGTTTGCCGCGCCCAAAGGAGAAGAGGCGGCTCGCGCCACTCCCGGGGAAGACCGTGGGGTGCCGCTGGGTTCGGGATCGGCCTGATTCTGCTCCAGGTTGGCAGCCATGTCTGCTGGCGTGCCCTGCACCACCCTCCGTTGCAAGTGCCATTTCAACGGAGCTCTTTCCAGGCGAAGTCCTGGGTTCAGGAAGCGTTCTCATTGATGTTCAAAAAATCCTCGTCCTCCTCCCTCCATTATCCCGACGAGTTTCCCTCTAGCCCTCTCTAGGGTTTCGGACGGAGGAGGTAGAAGGAGGAGGGGGGACGAGGAACGGGGGGAGAGGATGAGACTTTGGGGCCCTGTTGTTTTCGCTTTGCGTCCAGCGCTGCGACCTTGATATCGAAGACGCCTGCGGCGAGTCATCGCCGCCCCTTGCCTTTCTCGAAACGCCGGTGCGGCCACATTGAGCCCTACGTAGCATGGCCAACCTGTTGGACATGTTGTCCCCCCAGCCGTTGTTGAGCCCCTCAGCGAAACACTTGCGGGAGGAAAGGAGGAGGAGAGGGAGGAGATGGCGGATGGAAAGGAGGAAGAGGAAGAGGAGGCCTCTTGGGGCCCTCCTTGGGGTTTCCTGGGGGCCTGCTGGGCAGCTCTGGGGGCCTCCTGGGGCCTCCCGCGGGCCCAAGCAGTTTCTCGGCCTTCGGAGGCGCGCTGGGGGGCCTCACGGGGGCCGTCTGCAGGCCCTCCTGCGCAGGGCCGTTTTTGGAAGCCGCTGGGGCCGTCCGTGGGTCGTCTCGGGGGCCCCTTGGGCTGTGGCCGCCCGTGGGCGCCTTGTGGGCGCCCCACGTGCTGGGTGGGTGCGCCGACGTCTCGCTCGGCGGCCGCCCGCGGACGCTTCGTCGGCGCCCTGTGCGCTGGGTGGGCTTTCTGCCCGGTGGCCACGTGGCGGTCGCCGGTGTCCGCCTCGTGGGCGCTGCGTGCGCTGGGTGCTCTGTTGGCATGTTTGGCCTGGCGATCGTATGTGGGCGCGTCGTGGGCGCCTTGTGCGTTGGTTTGGTGTTATGGGTTTTCGCCCCGTCCCCGCCCGTGGCTGTCTTCGTGTGGCCTTGTGCCATGTGCGCTGGCTCAGTGTTCCGCGTTTTTCGCCCGGTGGCTGCCAGTGGGCGCCTTCAGCGCTGGATGGCGTTATTGAGCGCACGAATTGTTATGAACTCCGTAGACTGCAGACGTCAATGCCGCCCCATCGATTTCACCGCGCTGAGTGCACCTCCATGCAACACATATAATGTACCACACATGTTGTACTACACCGTTTTTCACTTTGTAGGTTGCAGCGCGTAGTTTGCACCAGTGGGCGCCCGAGGAACGATGGGCGCCCGAGGAACGAATGGGTTAAGCAGGTCGCCAAACGTGCTGCTGAGGAGAGAACATGGTGAGTCAGGTTGGAGGGTTGGCGTGAGCTGGCATTGCATGCCCCAGTTGCGTCTACGCGACGGCGTGTGAGTGAGTGAGTGGTGAATGTGCGCCACGTCGCAGACATCACGTGCATTGCACCCCGTAGATTTTACATCCAGTGCGCAAGATCTCATTGTTTGGGGTCCCCGCTGGCAAACATATATTTCGCCGTCGTGCTCCTGCCGCTCAGGAGTCGGACTCTCGCCTGGGAGGTCCCCGCATCTGATTCCAGACTTGCGCTCTCGCCAGTCACGGCTTGCACTCTCGCCCAGGAGTTCCTCGCAGCGTGCCGAGGACGCGCGCTCTCGCCCGAGACTTCCGCACGATGTTCTCATGAGTCGTTTTCACGCCTTGCCCGCCTGGCCTGCCCAGTAGGGCCCGCCCGCCCGACCCGCCCGTTGGGGTCCGCCCGCCCGACCCGCCCGTCAAGGGCCGCCCGCCGTGCGCTTGCTGTGAAGCCCGCCCGCCCGATGTAACGCCTCGCCCGCCCGTGTTGCACAGCAGGCCCGCCCGCCCGACGCGCCAGACTGAATCCCACCCGCCCGACCTGCACGGCAGGGTCCACCGTCTCCCGTGCGTGGACACCCGCGGGCCCGCTCCCGCCGTCCGCCGGGACACCGTAACCATGTCTGATGGCTCTCGGCCTGCCCCGCCACCGTGCCTAGGTTGCGGGTCAGCGTCCTCAGCGATTTTCCTAGGGTCTCTCTGGGGCGCTCTCGGGGGCAGTTTGGGGGCTTCTTGGGAGCCTCTGGGGGGCCTCTTGGGAGCCTCTGGGGGGCCTCTTAGGAGGGCCTCTTGGAGCCTCCTGGGGGCCTCCTGGGGGCCTCCCTGGACCGAGAGCTCGAAATGTTCATTCGTGTCCCCCGTCGGGGCCCCCTCTTTGAGCAGTCTTAGGAGCCTCTGGGGCCGTCTTGGGCGCCTCTTGCGCCGTTTTAAGGACATCTTGTGCCGTTTTGGGATGCTCTTGGAGGCCTCTTGGGCCGTCTTGGGGCGATCTTGGGGGCCTCTTGGGCCGTCCTGGAGCGTCGGCAAGCCGAAGAGGCGAGAATGCCAACATATTTCAAACATCGTTGGAACATCAACAATACTATACGCCTCTTGGGAGGCCTCTTGGGGCATCTTGGGGGCCTCTTCGGCCGTCTGTGGGCGTCTTTGGCGTCTTGGACCGATCGTTCGGTGACTCGGGTACCTCTTTGGCCGTCGTTGGGTCCTCGTAGGATCCTCTCAGTGTCACCAAGAGGACCTTGAGAGGACCTACGAGGACCCTGAGAGGACTCTAGAGGACACTAAGAGGACCTCCTTTGGGTCCTCTTGGCCGTCTTGGGGCCTTCTTGGCGTCCCAAGGGCTCAGGCAACACACCCTAGTAGCGCAGGGGACAGCCTGGGAAACTTGGCGTCGGGCCCTTCAGAAGCCTTACGAACCACAAGCCCTCCTACTTCGCAGAGCTGCATGAGCCTTGGGACACTTCACCACTTGCCGAAGGCACGGTGGCGGACTGTTTCGCAGTTTGACCCAGTGGGTGGTATGACAAAGGAGCCCCCCCCATGGGGTATGTTCATGGACGAAGAGGGCGGGAATCATTGGTTTCGGGTATACATGTAGGATGACGCGTGTGGACGTACACAACTAAGTTTTTCGAGCTCTCACTTCTGACGAACAATCATTGTTGATCCACCTTGTCCAGTGCCCATTGTTGTGTACTTGAAGTGCGCGCGCCACGCTCGCGCCCTGTTTTATGCCAGGGACATCTGCCTGCTTAGATCGCAGTGTTGTCCCACGGACTACATCAACACCGGCTCCCGCCTGGGACTTCTTCAGCATTCTGTCAGAGATCACGTCCTCGCTTGAGACATCTTCGCGGTCCACCCAAGAGTCGCGCTCTTGCCTAGGATGTTTTCGAAGTGCATCAAAGAATCGTGCTCCCGCGCTTCAGGAATCGAGTTCTTGCCAAATAGTTTGATTGTGTATTCAGGAATCCTGCTCTCGCTTGAAATTTCTGGGCGACTTACTCACGGGTTGTTCCCTCTTTCCTTACTTTTTGGGTAATCTATTTGAGGATCGCGGTTTCGCCATTCAGGCATCGCTCTCTCGCCTGGGACTTCCTTGCTGCCCGCCTGCTTTACTGTTCCACCTGCCCAGCCCGCCTGCTCGACCCGTCCGTCCGTCAGGTTTCGCCCGCCCGCCGAAGCCGTCAGAGTCCCCGCTTGCTTGCGTGAAAGCTGGCCCGTTTAAGTGCCCCGCGTCCGTTCTGCTTAAAAGGTTCCGCCCGCCCGGCCTGCCCGTAAAGATCCGCCGCCTGACTCACCTGGTCGACGTCGCCCGCTCGACCCGCTCGTCTTACCCCTCGGGGGTGCACTCAGGACTTGGAATGACAAGATCCCACGAACTGGGTCCAGAAGGAAGAAGGTGGGAGTCGAGTGCTCGGGGTGCACACATCGGATGACTCGCGAGCGTCCAAGAGGGGGCTTCTCCCTCGTCTGCACACATGCCTCGGACCATGATTTGCGATCCCCCTCTTGGACGCTCATCTCTTAGGCGCCCCCGACAGTACGAGCGAACCGTTTTGAATGATTGTTGAACTCTCAGCTCTTCGCAAACATTGTTGATAATCCCACAGGGGCCCATAGTTCTTCAATTGAAGTACGCCCTTCGGCTCTTGCGTTTTGGGAGGCCCAGTAAGTCCTGCGTCTCAAGCTGCGTTGCTGGGCTCCCAGGCTGCAAGGATAAGGAGCGGGACGGGACGTGACAGAGGCGGAGGAGAGTGGGGGAGGCGAGAACGAGTCAGGGAGGGAATGGGGGAGGTGAACGACGGGGAGAGGAGCGCGAATTGGTCAGCGTGTCTTCCAATCTGCGTCCGCGCGCAGACCCCGCGGAAAGCAAACCGCTCTGAGGCCTGTGGAGAAGCCCTTCAGCGGGCGAGCGCCTCTGTTGCTCGCTGTCGTGCCTCCTGCCGTGCAGTCCCTCGCTGCTCGGGCCACCGTCTCGTTGCCTCCTCCGGCCGCTACCTCCTTGGAGTGGGGAGGGCACTTGCCGACATCCGGACGACATAGAAACTCGGGTGGGTGGTAAAGGGTGGCAGGGTGGGTGCAGAATTGGGCCCTAAAGGGGCCCCGTAGGGCCCCTTGGAGCCAGCAGGGGCCCAAAAGGGACCCTACCGGGCCCCTTCAGGCCCTCTTTCCTCGCACCCCATGTAGGTCACCCGCCATCACCACCCGGCCGAGAAATAACAATGCGTCGGGCTTTCTCTCTCCGTCTTGGGTGCCAGGATTCCCACGGGGTCGGTCCAGCTCGGGTTCGCTCACAAAATGGCATCGCGGAGATGATTGTGATGCCTATTCTTAGCATATTGTGTATGCGATGGTCGGCGCGGCTGGTGTCTTGCGGTCTTCTATCGCTCTGCCTTTTGCTGTGGAATGGAGAATTGAAGCTGAGCTGCGTTCATGCGTGTGCGTGTGCATTTGAACATACGGCCTCTGTGCACGTGCGAAAATATTGATGTTTATGTGACTGCGTGCGAGGTGCGTTCCTGATAATGCGCACTTCAGCAATTATGCGTGTTGCCTGTTTCTCTTTCTCTTCTCTTTCTCCCCCTCTTTCTATCCGCCTCTGAGTATAGCATACAGCATATTCGACGGAGATCACGGCCTCATTCGCGTGGCCTCACCAGGCAGCATCTCTCTGACATCTCTCTCTTCTTTTCTCTCTCACTCTCTCTCTCTCTACATACATATATTCCCCAATCAGAGCTTGCCTCTGTAGGGGTCCTAGCGGATTAAAGGTTTAGGTGAGAGGTGCGGCCGATTTCGGTGGCCGGGCCCGGGTGCCCGGGTGCCCGGGTGCCCGGCGGTGCCCGGGTGCCCGGGTGGCCGGTGAGGTTGGTCGCCGATTTCGGTGGCTGGGCCCGGGTGCCCGGGTGCCCGGGTGCCCGGGGTGCCCAATAGCCCAATAGCATATAGCCCTATAGCCCTATAGTTTAATAGCCCCATAGCCCTATAGCCCTCTAGCCCTATAGCCCAACAGCCCTATAGCCCTATAGCCCTATAGCCCCATAGCCTTATAGCCCTATAGCCCTATAGCTCTACAGCCCTATAGCCCTATAGCCTTATAGCCCAATAGCCCTATAGCCCTATAGCCTCATAACCTTATACCTTTATAGCCCTACAGCCCCATAGCCCCGACAAACATCTGATTGGTTTTTTTCTCTGGTGTCGTATTGGCGGTTTGTAATTAAACACGTTGTGCAGAAGTCAGCAAGCCGACAGGGGACGGACGTGGGTCCGTCACCGTTTTTGCTCAAGCTTTTAATTTGCGGCCTCCGCCTATGCAATCCCTCGGGCGCATTCTCTCGGGGGCACACCACCTGGCCGCCATCGCCGGCAGGCTCGCATCGCAGTGGGCGAGCCAGGCCGGCAACTGTGTGGTGATCGCCAATAGCATCGGCGACCTGAGGGTCGCCTTCATTTTTCTCTTCGCCGCAGGGGTGTTCCTGGGCTGCATCGGAGGGTGTCTCTGCTGCAAGGGCCTGGCTCTGAGCCATGGCCGCATGGCGAGCTGGTCACAGGATCGGAGTCTTGTTGAAAGACGGAGAGGACTGGCAGACTCGCGTGCTCCTTTGTCCTGGTACTACCGCCGATGCCGAGAGCGATCTCCAGATGACTGGCCTGAAAGCAGCGGGGAAGAACGGCAACATATGGTACGCTCTCACACCCGACGGGGACGTGTACATTCACGTGCTGGAACCCCCGGGAGTCCGGGGATCGGCGCTGTGCGATCAGATGGGCCTGCCCGAGCGGAGCGGGCCCTTGCAGTTCGGGAGGACGTGGCGAGCAGGAGGCAGGATCTACGGACAGGAGTGGACCCCGACGCCAGAGGAGTTCGTCGACGCGCTGCAGTTCGCGCTGGGCGGCTCCTTGTTCGAGGCAGCCCCTCAAGTGGCGGACAAGACGGTCTCGGTGCTGCGACGGATGAGCAAGAAGGGGCCGCTCCCAGCTGGCGCGGTCTTGGCTAGGGCAGCTCCTCCGAGTAGCTTTGTGCGTGGCTCGGGTGCCCTGCCATCCGCGGTGGGGATGCGCTGGCAGGTTCAGGCCGCCAGTGGCCCAACACCCGAGCGCCGCCCGCTGCAGGACTACGACGTGGACGAGTACTGCACCGCGGGCGGCTTCGCGCTGGCATCTCAGGAGGGGGAGCTGCTCCTGCTGAGGGAGGTCGAGAGGTCCTCGCCGGAGGACGACACGGAGGTGGACGCCAGGCTCCTGCCGCTCGTGGAGGTCGAGGGCGTTCGCAAGCGGTACTTCAAGGACTCGCCCAAGGGGCTCACCGAGACGGCCTGGCGGGAGTGGCCCGTGCGCGGGCCACGTACGACTGTCTGGTGCGCCATTTTCGTGGGTGACCAGGACAGCCACCCACGCTCGAGACACACTAAGTGGAAGGCCGAGTGCGGTCTCACGACTGCCGACGTCGGTGTTTCGGAGCACGAGTTGTGTATGCGAGTATTGGAGCTGGCCATCACCTACGACCAATTGAACATCGGGGAGTTGGCCAGCTTCGAGCTCATGCTCAGGCGCGCGCAGATGACGGAGTGGAGATACAGAGAGCGCGTGCTGGGGCGTCCACTCCTGGACGACACGGCGGAGGACGAGTTCCTCTACATGGGGACGGCGGAGACGAGAGGGCTGCTCATGGTGGCCCCGGAGCTGCAGGCTCACATCTCGGACGAGCTGCACCGCGAGTCGGCGGTGCTCAAGGAGAGGCGCAAGCTCCGCGAGGAGCGCCTGGCGTCCCGCGGGCTACCACCAGCTGGCGGCGGCGGGGGCTCGGCGTCCGCGGCAGCGATGGAGACGAAGATCAAGCAGCAGGCGGCTGAGCTCTCGAGGCTCCAGGCGAAGCTCAACCACGGCGGCGGGGGCGACCCAGCCACAGGGGAGAGGCAGGCCGCGGCCAAGGGCCGCGGCCGAGGCACCTAGTCGCCCTGATGATCGCGCCGCGGGAGCTCCTCCCTCTGAGGGGCCCTGCGGCTTCAGGCGCCTCGCCATCCGTGGCGGGCGTCAGCCGGGCTGTGCGCTCACGCGTTCGTCGTCGCGCAGCCTGCTCGTCCTGGGCCAATGAGATCATCGACACAGTCAAAAATTTGTACTCCCACGGCGAGGTACAGCAGCATCACTCCGTCTCAGCTGGGCAGCAGCTCGCCCTGGACGCCCGTCTCAGATGATCGAGCCCGCGGCAGCCTTTCGAGTGCTGTGCGGATCGGCGCCAGGGTATACTGAGCCCTCGGCAGAACATTCACCCTATCGACGAGGCGCAGTCTCGTTGCCGGCTCCTGGAGCTGACCTTGCTCGTGGCGACGTCTGTCTTCGAGGACCGGCAGTGCAAATGTGGACAGGGTGGCGAGACTGTCTCTTGCACCCCAACCAGGACCTCTCCGGGGCAGTGCGGCCGTACTCTGACCCCAAGCTGATTCGGGACAGCGGCACGTACGCCGAGTTTTTGGTGGACATGGCACGTTCAGGGCTCGTCTCTTTCACGAGCGAGAGGCCATCCACCGTGGGGGTCTTCTTCGTAAAGAAAGGTCCAGATCGCCTTCGACTCATCCTGGACACTCGACGAGCAAACAAGCTGTTTTTGGATCCTTGCCACACCCAGCTCTCTACACCATCGAGCTGGTCCTCTCTGTACTTGCCACCCGAGGCGGAGCTGATGGTGTCTCAGACCGACGTCAACAACGCGTTCTATCGCATCCAGCTCCCCCCCGGCACGAACGACTACTTTATTTTGCCCAGCATCGACGCCAAGTGGATTTCCGAGGCCGCCCCTGATCTGGCCCCTGGTCTCCCCGCGGGCATCCGCATCTCCCCTCGCATGGAGGTGCTGCCCATGGGGTTCAACTGGGCGCTGTTCTTCTGCCAGGAGATGGTCCGCAATGCCGCGGAGGACGCTGGCTTCGCTGACGGGCAGATGTTCCTGGACCGCCACTCGGCCCCCGACATCGCCACCCAGCCGGGCGCCGCCGTGTACGTCGACGGCGTGGCCGTGGTGGGGGCGGACTTGCAGGCGGTCGAGGCCGGCGGAGTCGCCGTGGCCAAGCAGCTGGAGGAGCGCGGCCTCCAGGTCAAGGGGGTCGAAGGCCCCTCGGACTCCCAGACCTTCACGGGGATGGAGTTCGATCGGACCTCCGGCCGCATCTCGCTCAGCCGCGAGAGGATCTGGAGGCTGCGCGCGGCCCTGCTGTTCGCTGCGGACCAGCGCTACCTGACTGGGCGCCAGATGCGGCGCCTGGTCGGCCACTACACGTGGAGCGCGACCCTGCGGCGTGAGCTCCTCAGCGTCTTCAGCAGCGTCTACGCCTGGGCGGAGAAGGCGGGCGACAAGAGGTGGCGCCTGTGGCCTTCGGCCGAACGGGTGCTCCGCCAGGCCGCCGCCCTCGTGGCCTTCGCCTTCGCGGACCCCAAGCGCCCGTTCCACGCCACGGTCGTGGCGACCGACGCCTCAGGCGCCGGGCTGGACGACGCCGGCGGCTACGGCGTGGTCACGCAGGAGTGGCCCGTGGAGAAGGTCCGGCGCTGCTGCGGGCATGCCGAGAAGTGGCGCTACGGGGTGCAGGGGCTCGTCGCGGCCAGGGCGGCCGCGCTGGGCAGCCCCGCCGACCCCAGCTCGCCCCGCCCGACGGCGCAGAGCGGCGAGAGGACCACAGACTTCGAGAGCATGACGCGGGACGACATCGGGGCCTTCGAGAACTGGAAGCTGGCGTGCCGGGGCCGATGGGCCCGGGCCGAGGGCATCCTGAGGACCGAGGGCCGAGCATGCATGATCGGCCTCCGTCACGAGCTGAGGTCCACGAGCACGCACGGAAAACGTATACTTTTTTCCTGTGGACAACATGAGTGTGGTATTGAGTTTGGGTACGGGTAGATCCAGCAGC